CTATGGATCTCTTTGTACCAACTATGGATCTATTTGTACCCACTATGGATCTATTTGTACCCACTATGGATCTATTTGTACCCACTATAGGTCTCTTGGTGCACACTGTCACCTTTTTTGTACCCACTATGGATCTCTTTGTACCCACAAGTATCTTTGTACCGACTTTGGGTTTCTTTGTACCCACTGCAAGTGTCTTTGTACCCACTATGGATCTCTTTGTACCAACTATGGATCTTTGTACTCACTATAGATCTGTTTGTATCCATACATATCTTTGTACCGACTTTGGGTTTCTTTGTACCCACTACAGAACTTTTTGTACTCATTACAAGTGTCCTTGTACCCAGTATGGATCTATTTGTACAGACTATGGGTTCTTTTGTGCCCTCTGTCAACCTCTTTGTAAGTAAGTAAGTACCGGTAAGCAAAGTTTTATTTATAAAGCGCCTTTCACAGAAATACCCACTATGGATCTATTTGTACCCACTGTGGATCTCTTTGTACCCAAACAAATCTTTGTACCGACTTTGGGTTTCTTTGTACCCACTATGAATCTTTGTACCCACTACAGATCTATTTGTACCCACTACAGATCTATTTGTACCCACTATGGNTGTACCCACTATGGGTTCCTTTGTGTCCTCTGTCAACCTCTTTGTACCCACTATGGATCTTTGTACCCACTACAGATCTATTTGTACCCACTATGAATCTTTGTACCCACTACAGATCTATTTGTACCCACTATGAATCTTTGTACCCACTACAGATCTATTTGTACCAACTGTGGATCTCTTTGTACCCAAACTTATCTTTGTACCAACTACAGATCTATTTGTACCCACTATGAACCTTTGTACCCACTACAGATCTATTTGTACCCACTATGAGTTCCTTTGTGTCCTCTGTCAACCTCTTTGTACCCACTATGGATCTTTGTACCCACTATGGATCTTTGTACCCACTATGGGTCTATTTGAACCCACTGTCAGTCTTATTTGTACCAAACTTGGGTGTCTTCGTACCCAGTATGGGCCTTTTTGTGTCTCGTTGTTGTGGATCTTCCTGTGAGCTGATGATTTAAAGTCATCAGAATGTAGTGAGGAAAAATAAAATGCATTAAACTGGCCTGTGCTGTCAGAACTTTAGAGAAACAAACAGAAAATAATGACACCTGCTCATCAGAAACGTTTTAACTTGATGTTAATGTGTTTTCTTCAGGACTGCCACCGTTCTGCTGCWCAGGATGTTGAACTAAGTGCTCTGTGAGTGGCTCAGACATTCAGAACCCCCTTTTCCATCCTTGTTGTGCTTGTTTTGGTTCTGAACTGACCCGGCTCCTGTCGGTGACTCACGGCTGGTTGCTGGGATGTCGGGTGAGTTCGACAGYGCAGACAGGCCCAATGTGGCTCCTGAAGAGTTCGAGCGCCAAGAAAATAAACAAGGCTTTTGATCACAAAGGGCCCATTCACTCCCCGCCTCGCTCTTTCTCTCCTTCTCCCCCCTCTCCAACGAGTCATCCAGCTCTTATTTTTATCCTAATTTAAAATCCTCTTTCTTTTCTTTCATCCATTTGCAACTTTTTTCTGTCTTCTCCTCACATCTAAGACAGCTTTGACAAAAGGACAAGAGCAGACAGACATCATCTGACCAGCCAGAGGGCAGACAGACAGAAACAAGGGCCTCCTTATTCCACAAACACACCGTGGAGCTGCAGCTCAGAGCAACACGACATGGAAAATGTCTTCATCACTCCGTCCTCAGCAGGAAAACACAGACGCCGGCCTCTCAGGAGCATACAAGCCTTCTTCTTTCAGCTCTTTGGGTTTGAAAAAGYGTTTTCTTCTGAGCGCAGATGGACCAGTGTACCAAAAAACAACAAAGCCTATCCCGTTGTTGTCGGCAGCTCTTTCTGGGTGGGGCTGCCATTTGACCCCCCTCAGGCCCGTTCTTCCATTTTCAAAACAAGACGAATTTCCTGACTTTTAATGAAAACAAACAAATGTGCTAAAATCCAAACTAATCAAACCCTGATGTTAACCAATACCCGCCTGATCGATCTCCTGTTCACTGATTCGTCTCTTTACTCCCTCAGTAACAATCAACTGTGATCACTGGACACCTCCCTGACCCGCTCACGTCCCGCTGAGCTTTTGTTTCTTTCATCACCAAAACCATCTGATGCTCAGCAGGAAAACAAAACAACAAACTGAAATTTTACGCATTTCTGCATCGATTATTTGCTTTCTTTTAAATTTACACTCAATACAAGAACATTAAACAAACTACAGATTTTGTAATTCCAGCTAAAATGCAGCATGAACGCTTAACATTAAAGATGTTTGTAGAAAAAAAGATGAAAATATTTTAGTTTGTTCTAAAATAGCAAAAAAATGTGAAATTAACAGGGAAAACAAAAAATTTGCCTAAATTGCATAAACAGCTAAAATAAGCATAAAAGTCTTAAATTARTAAAGAAAGCTGATAGAAGTTTAAAAAAGTTTAAAGTGCCTGAGACATAAAATTTTTGTAATAAACATGAATGCATTTTTGAAAASATARCATTAATAACAAATTGCAAACAAATTTCACRTTGCTGAGATKAACGGTTGTCGAGATATTTGCATGTGAAAAAAAGGAAGTGATGTCAAAGGGGAATGTCWGCATGTAAACAGAGCGTTGATACAAAACAACACAGACTGCASAGAAGAATCTGTTTATTTASATTATTTTAGTCGCTATCAAAGAGAGACGACGAGTTAAGAAGAAGAGTTAAAGTTTAAATAACTTTGTTTTAATAAACAGAGACCAGTAAGTTTATTTATTAATGAGTTCCCCTTTGATGTCACTTCCTGTTTCACTTTGGCTGAGCCAAATTCCAAAGAAAATAGACCAGTCATGGGACAAAATGGGTAAAATTATGTGTAGCCTACTTAAATTTAAAGAAGGATAGGCATGTCGCAGGCACTTTAAAGTAGAAGAACAGCAAAAATGACATTAYCAATCATAAAAGTGGTATTGGTCCAAAGTTTTGGTGTTTTTATGAGTATAACTACCAGAACACCAACCTCAGCCATCTGTGATGTTTAATCTCCTAAATGAAAATGTTTTTATTTATAAAACATTGATAAGATGTTAAAMTCTGTTGTGGAAGAACATCCTTTTTTCTTTTAGTTTTAAATGATTCAGGTYTTCTGCTCCTGAGGGCGTCTCCCCACCTACACAGCGCCATGTCGGGCTAAAATCTCACAAAAACAAAGTTAGATTCGTGTTGGAATTTGTTTTTTCCCCTGGTGAGCTGGAAATTTTCTTGTAAATCAAGTTGGGTCACACGAACATTAAAACATGACTTTTTTGCTTTAATATTGAAAATAAAAACTTTGAAAATGGAAGTGAAAGGACACCTGTAGCTGYGGCGGCCATCTTTAATTGTGTTAACTTCACCTGTAATTAATTTCTCTGCTTATATTTTCATGCTTTTCTTTTCTCATTTGGACCAGTACCCCATGAGAACCAAAACCTGGTCCAGATGAGCCAGAACTTTTAATTAGTAGGGAGGTAAGGCTAACATAAACCTGATAAACCACAGGCAGCGTCCTTCTTTATAATTACAATCAGTTAAATCTCTTTCCTGGAGGCTGATTGCTCCTCAAACCGGATCAAAATGGCGGTCGGCGGCTTTTTGGCGGGCTCGCGGTGACAGTAAAAGGGCTTCTCATCACCCGCGGCGGTATTTGATCTCCACGGCAACTCAGTGACGCGACAAAGTGCGTGCAGCGGCAGTGGGTTCTGAACAAAGATCGTCTATAAACCTGATGGGTTTCTGTATTAATAAAATACAAAGTTTTCGTTCGTTTTACAATTGTTTGTTAACGGCACATACAAATAATATATTTAGAGAAATAATCTCACACATTTATGTTCGTTTTTATTTGTCATTTCCTCGTGAATAGTGTTGTTTTACGGTGATAAAAGTCAAACAGGACACCCATCTGTCTGCATAGACGATCTTCGGGAAGTGGGTGTTCGGTTCCTGGCTCCCTCCCTCCCTCCGTGGGTCCGCGTGGGCGGCCCCGTGCGGCAGGAGGAGAGCGAAACACGACACCCGGAACGCGTGAGGATTGGAAGGGAGGGGGGGTGGTAGAACACGGAGTGACTGAGTGGAAAAAGAAAAAGTGATCCGGAGAGAAAAAAAAAGGGGGGCAGAGAGAAAGAAGAGGGTTTTATTCCTCCCTGAAGCTCCGCAGTTGTCCGGAGGAGGATGACGATGACGGACCGCGGCAGCAGCGACAGCCGGAGTCAGGTTTTAAACGCATTCCGCCGCTCGTCTCCAACCCGCGGCCAACGGCAGCACGACTCCTCCAAACTTTGACCTGCGCCATTCAGACCCGGGCTGCTGGATTTACCCCCTCCGAGAGGCTCGGAGCAACTTTTCTGCACCAGAAACACCCCCCAGCAAAAGTTTTTTTTTAAACCAAACCTCGATAGTTTATTAGAAATCAAATCAAACGGAGAGAAACAGCCTGCACTGAAGAAGCGGAGCTCTTGATCGGGGCAGAGCCTCTCCAACGAGCCGCGCCGTGTGAGGACAACACCGGGGGAAGGAGGAGCGGGGTCCCGCCGCTGCTAACTCGGCTAACAGCTACCGTCCAAAGTTACCAGTCGACGGGGAAAGTGACGGAAGAAGCCCGCCGAAGACCACAACAACGATGAAGACCCCGGCAGAGACGGGTGAGTATATATTTAACTCTATTTATTTCACTTTTTTAACGGTTTTTAAACCCTAAAAACGGCAGCGGTTAGCATGTTAGCACAAACTCTTCGCTCATCTCCAGGGAAAGTGACCAAATTATGGCGCTTCAAACCGGATCCGTGTTGTTGTTTCAGTCGGCACCGCAGCTCCAAAGTGTCAAACTCAATCACATCCAGTACTTTTTAAAAAACATTTCACACCGTAACAAAGTAAATGATGTAATGTTTACAGTAGGAGCGACTGTAGAGACGGTTTCCTGGAGCACTTTTAGCGGCTCTGCTTCCACACATGGCCTGATGGAAACCTGGACCTTTATGTTCACATTAACGAGTTTAAACAAATAAAAAAACTACTTTTAACAAAAGTAATGAGTAAGTTGATATATTAGATTTTAGAGTGGATGAAAATACAACAGGATATAAACTTTTTGTTTGTTTTTTAATTTAAACAGTTTATCATGGAACTGTTCTCATGATTGGATTGACCTCTAAAGAGATAAAAATCAGTTTTAGGAAATAAATAAATCATCTTGACCTACAGAACTGGTTAGTTTTACAGATCTGATCAGATTATATGTTGGGGATGACTCTCAACTACCTCCRTAACTAATTTTAACACCTTATCTTTAAAATTACTTGAGTTAAAAGTTTTATTTTTCTTAAAGATAAGTTGGCCGTGGCAGCCATCTTTAATTAGGTTAGTTAATGAGCTGTAGAGATCATTATTATTATTTCCTGAAAGTTTCATTAAAATACATCTAATAAGTTATTTTGCTAACAGACCAGCGTGAGCGATTACATTATTACCCCGTAATTCATAGAGGCAAGCTAACACATCCCTGTTAAATTAAGATTATTTTTAATCCCACAAAATGCTGGATTACTTGAAGTGAAAACAGATCATTGAGTTGTGATTTTTTTTTACCCACATTGCAGCCCACTAAAAGCACAAAATCTACAAAAATAAATGTTCAAAATAATTTTTGTTAGAAAAAACGTTGATAAATTCACTTTTTTATTGAGTAGTATTTTACCTTACATACAGTGTTTCAGGTAGTGTCTCAGTGACCTTTGACCTTCCAGGTTGATTGTCCCAATCTTCAAAGGTCTAATAAAGCACTGTAACTGTTACAAAACTGACAATAATAATCATAAATGGGGATAAAACTGTATATTTTTGATGAATCTCTTTATTTATCCACTTTTCTTCWGTGTTGTTTGTTTAGTTAGAGAATATTCAGGGTCACAAATCTTTCCTGTGGATRTTTTCAGGTCAAAAGCTGAAAAAGTTGGTTTTAAATGAATTCTATCAACATTTTTATTTGTTGTTTTTTTTTCGTTGCACCTCAGCTTCAAATTTCAACTCTSCCACCGTTCAGAATTCCTCTCGTTTTTCTGCGACTTTACTGCTTTCCCTGAAATGATTATAATTTTCCCCCCATTGTGCGTTTAGGTGCTCCTTAAATTCAGTTTAGTCAGAAATTGCTCTGTGGTGATATGGGGCGGGCAGACATCCAGAGCCCATAATAGATGTTTAAAAAAAAAAAGAAAAAGAAAGGGGAACGCTTCGCCACAAACACAACATCATAATTAGAAATGTGGCTTCAGATGTTATGTTGCTGCTGGAGATGTGCACACCTGGAGAGGGTGACRAGCACTCCTTCAAACTCTGGGTTTTTACCTTTTAAATTAGATCAAGTCCTAAAACTGAAGGTTTGGGGTTAGTTTTAGGTGCACGTTTGTTTTTTTTTAAATAGATCCTCTCAGTCATTGTTGCCTATTTTTGTCATTTTCCCTCCGAATGACTTCCACAGTCCTGAGGCTCAGACTTTAAACTCTTCGTTTGCTTTTAAAAGTCGACCGTCYTGTTTTGACCCACAAGTCACGGCGCTGCTTAGTCCTCTGGTTGAAGTCCTGATCTTATAAAAGTTTACATTTGGCAGAGACAAACTGGTTTTTGGTAGTTCCTWCTTGATGATTTCCAGCTTCCTTTTAGTTTTCCTGGATTAAAGGAAAGCTGAGTCAGATTTTACAAACCTGCTTTGTGACGTCACCCAGTGACAAATTTAATCTGTAACAAAAGCAAATAACGGGGTCCGCCTCCTCCGTCTTCCTTTCAGGAAGTCAGGAGTCTGGACCCAGCAGCTCACATTTTTCCACCTGCGTCCACCCGTTTACATCAACAACACTCCACACGTGAGACGTCACAGCTGCCGGACCGCCGCCACGCTGTGTGGCGGTCCATGTGGAGAGGCTGCTGGTTAGAGGCGGAGCTTGTGTTGTTSATTTACTCGACTCATTACAGGAAGTGTCTGCAGAGTTTAATGGCTCTAATAACTCAGTTAATGACCCACATTCTCACTGTTACAGATTTTTAATCACTATTATGATAATAAAACTTGTCGCGTGTGTCGGTGGAGGTTCTTTGAACGGCCTCGGCTCGGAAAACTAGTTTAAATCAAACGAGCTAACAGCTAGCGCAGTTAGCGCTGAGATCAAAGCAGATTGTTGCCTTTAAAGGGATAATCACTAATTTTTAGACAGGCTAGATTTTTACTTAAAACTTACTTTTTAATGTTTTTTTTTTGTTTTATTGTAATTGATTTAGTATATTTTGTTTCATGTTGTCTTTGAGGTTTAAATAGTTTTTCAGTGTGAAGCACTTTGTAACGTTTGTTTAGAAAGGTGCTACACAAACAGGGTTCCTGCACATCCTTAAAAAGTCTTAATTTATCAGTCCAGAAATAAGGCCTTAATTAGCCTTAAAAAGTCTTACATCAATCCTTCAGAGGTCTTTAAAATAAAATGATTGTAATTCCTCTCAAATGTTCAAAGAATTGGTAACATTGATTTATCTTTTTAAATAATTTATTAAATGCCCTCACAGCTAGTTTTGTATAAAAATGGCTAAAATTGTTGCTAACTGGGTTTTTTTTTCATTTGTGTTTATTGTGATATTGGTCTTAAATTTAATTTCAAGTGGCATTAAAGAGGTCTTAAAAAGAAAAAGTCTTGAATTTAACTTGCCTTAAACTGTAGGAACCATGACAAATAAAGTTATTATCTRTCTTTAAAGTGTTTTATCAAACAGTTGGTACTTTATTAGTCATAGAGAGTATGAAGAAAAATGCTCAAGTCTTTATAAAAAGTTAAWGGTGAGCTAATAGCAGCTTTCTCCAAAAGCAAGTGGTGTTTATTTAATCATTTATCTCCAGTTTTTCCTCAAACATTTGTCATATTGTTGTATTTATTTGCATTAGCATAAAAAACAGGCAGTAAATGCATGGAGAGGCTGAAAAATATTACTTTTAAGGAAAACAAACCACTGAAAAATGTGATTTTTCACCTGACAGGAGGCCAACATGTCTGTCGATGTTCAAGTCCGAACGAAGCTCCGAGACAAACAAAACTCTAAATCATGTTTAGGATTACAGTTTTCTCATTTCAGCTTGTTCTGTCATAAAAACGTCACAGTGTCTCAGGACAACTGGTAATAACTGGGTCTCCAGCCGGTGCAGAGTTGTGACAAACCTTTTTCTTTTTTTACACTCGACCTAAGTGCTCGCCACAGATTGCACTTTCCTCAGGTTTTCCTCTCATTATGCGGTTTCTGTGAGCGATTAGTTCGACAAAGGTTGACCTGATCACATTCCTGATTACTACTGAGCCAAGCCCGGGCAAGCAGAGCCTGGAAAAACCTCAGCGGGGGATGACGTCAGCGTGTCTCTGATGTGCTGTTCAAACTGCAGCCCGGGTCAGCGCCGCTGCCGTCGTCTCCTGATGCTAAGCCCCGCCCCTTCTTCTTGGAAGTGTGTGCGCACGGTGGCTGCGCTGACCCACGCCGAGCCTCCACGCCGCACAGCAGGTGACRTGATGCTGGCTAAATAAATAAAACTCCACGCAATGCAAGTGTTTAGACCCCCACACCTGCAGCTCTGTTTATTATTCAAATATAGAAAATCAATGATAGGAAAGGCTGCCCTCATCGAGGCAGAAACAACGAAAACATGTTTTCTGATTAGTGTCGTAAAAACAACCTTCAGTCTGTGCAAAAAAACATGTTTTATGATAAACTAGGACTTTTTCCACCAATGATGATGCTGTTCATGGAAAGTTTTATTAAGAAAACCGTTCTGTACCAGTGTTGGAGAGAGAAATGCTGCAAACTGAATTAAAAAAATTACATTTTCAGCAAAGATACAAAAAGAACGGGACGTGACATTTAAATTAGTTAATTCTTAATTCAGCAAAGATGAAATCAAAGCATCAAAAACGGAGCTGGTGACTAAAAAATGCCAGGAAATCCACAGATATTGTTGAGCTCATTATTTAACTGCCCAGATCAACGGCGACCCTTTTGTTTATGATTTAAGAAGCAGATCTGGACCGGTTTATTTAAATATTAATCAACAGTGTTGTTTTTTCAGCTCTAGACATGTTCCTAAGTACAAACTCCAATCAGCTGGAGAGGATTTTTTATTTAAAATATGTGAGACGTAATGCTCTTTGAAAGTACCTTACTTAGTAAGTATTAACCGTATTTCTTTAATAGTTCAGTTTCTACATTTTGTTCTAAAAAGACCAAGAAAAGTTCACAACTAAAACAAAAAACTCCAGTTTAACTTTAACTTGGCTGCTGTTTTTTTAAAGCACCAGTTGTTTTAATTGAAAGCATGTGTTCATGTTGTTAACTGAATATTTCTGACTGAGTGAGTYGACACGCAGCAGATAAAACAGCAGAATCAGTCGAGCAGAACCACAGATTCAGTTCAGCAGACTGATCTGAGTGAAACACCTGACACGACACCCGGCCCCCCGCCGCCTCAGCGCTCTGATCTCTTGAGTTTTAATCAACATTCTCACCTAAAAAAGATTTATTTAGTTTCTCCGGCTTCACGCCGCTCAGTTTGAAGGCTGTTGACTCGAACCAAGGCTGGGAGAGCCGGAGGAGTGGGTTTGTGTTGTGTCTGGAGCTGTTT